TGTCTGCACTGTAGACATGACTTAACACAGATACACACACTGGAAAAAGCACCAATGCCTGTAACTAATAAAGTAACACAGTGCTGCCTTAAGGTCCTTCACTAAACAGATTTCTTACACATCTGTACCAAAAAGTAGATAAATTGGTCAAAAACACTGTTTACAAAGCAGGGAAGAAAAATGAAATCCCATGAAAAGAAAATGTATATGTATATTTGAGTAGTTTGATTTTGAAGTACTAATAGTAGTTTTATCGTTGTTTTTTACAAGTCCATATTTTACCTGTATCAATATTTTTCATTGGTCAACGAACAATGTCAATCTCATCAGTGATATAAGGTGGAAGGTAGTATTTGGACAACGTTATGACTAAATCTAACAGTCCATCAAAGCGGCTTTGTAAAAGACTGTAGATTTATTTTAGGGCCAAAAACAAACATGATACATGTTACTATTATGTCTCAAATTTAATAATAATAATAATTAAACTTTACTGATGTCACATTGGGAAAGTTTACCTCTGCATTTAACCCATCCCCTTGGGGAGCAGTGGGCTGCCATTGTACGGTGCCTGGGGAGCAGTGTGGAGTTAAGGGTCTTGCTCAGGGACCCAGAGAGCAGGCTGTTGGGATTGAACCTTGCAACCTTCTCAGACACAAGCGCACTGCTCTAACCAATGGCCAACACTCCCCTTAATCCGCTTATAGCCGCTTATAAAGGCACAGCTCTCTTAAGTTATAGACTGTAACTTCAGGTCTATATAAAATGTTTTAACCATCCATTTGTTGATTTATCTACTATATGATATTCTAGATACAGTTAGCTCCAATACTCTAAAATAAAGCCAAATGTACTTATTCTGGTTTCAATGGAGCCATAGGAACCAATCTAAAATGCCTGTCAAAAATGAATTAGGCTTATATCTGACATTAACATCCTGAAAAGATGTCCAGATTTCAGTTGAATCCATCCAGAAAATACAAATATTTATAATCCATTTTTTTTTTGTCCCATTTTTCCCCATAATCTATTTTTCCACTCTGAAGCAAAGAGATACCTATTGGAAACAGCATGTGGACCAAACCACTTTTTGAACTATATGGGGGTTCATATTCTTTTAATAATTAAGAAGTACATGTTACATTTATGAGTCAGATTGGCTGAGTTGTACTTTTATTTAAAATATTATTATTCCTCCACCCTGGTGCCCCTAGAGCCTTTAAGGATCATTCTGAATTTAGCTTCAGTCATCTTAAAACAAACTCAAAGCAGCTTGCCTCAACCTGCTAAACAAAAACAGCCACACAGCATTATGCTTCTGTCATGATGTGTCAGTGATGTACAGTGTTAGCTTTTTGCCATGCATGGCATTTTCTGTAAATTCTGATCAATGCTGAAATTGGTAAATTCTTACTTTTTCCCCCACTATGTAACAATGCAGTCTCTGTTTAAAACACAAATCTCCTTTGTTGGCTTTAAATAATATTTTAGCTGATAATTAGGTGCTCTAAAGAAAAGGCTACTACTATCCGGATTGCTAAAAGCAATATCTGAGATAAAAGAAAAGGCAATTTCCTTTTTATTTCCTTTCTCCTTATTTTTTAGAAACCTCTTTAATTATGTATCATTCAAACATAATTAGCCACTCTCATTTAACTAAAAGTCATCTGATTATTGTGGATCTATACAAGCTTCCTAACAGATAATGTGAGAAACAACCTGCAATGGTCTCTTTATGGATCCTGGTATTTCTGTTTAGTTATTGTTTGCTTCTTATATAGTGGTGGTCTCTAGCCTCGCTGAACTGAAATATAACTGCTGTGTGAGCTTCCATCTTAATTAGATGCTATTCTATCACCCACACACCATACGCCAAAAAAGTCCTACGTGGGAGGATGTTTGCTGGTTTTGAATATGTAAGGCCATCCTTTATTTTCTGATCATTGTTGTGGTGGGAGTTTTGGATTGATGCAGTGACATATTTTAGTACTTTGTACACCAGGAATGCTGTATAGATGCACACAGTTTAGATACTACATATGCATTGCTGTATGTAAGATACAAACAGTTCTACAATCATAACGGGACTATTATTAACTATTTTTTGCATAATATGCATATAGTTTCTGGTGAAGTTCATTTTATTCTGCTGCTCTCTGCTGGCAATAAGAAGGTACTACAGTTAACTGGACACACGTGAAAAGGTTTGAGTCTTGCAGCTGCAGCATTAATCTACACTGACACAGAGGTTATTCATTTTCTGTGCTGATAGCTTCCTTTCCTTCTTTTTTTCAACTTTGCTGCAGTCATGCTGCAGCAGAGGCTGTCTGATGGGTTGAGTGTGGGTTGCAGCTTTATTGATAACTCAGTAAATACATGTTAAATGATGCCATATGATTGATAGAATTGTCAGAATCATAAAATCGTTCCATGATGGTTTGTGTTTCGTAGAAAAAAGATGTGCAATCTTGGAAAACACCATGCTATTCAGGAAATAAAGACTATCAAATGAAGAATCCTTGTTTTTAAGATAGTAAATCTGATCAAATCTGGAATTTTAATTCAATAATACCTTATTAATCCCAAAGGGAAATTCAGTAAAGTTAAGAAAATCATGCAATATGAAACTACCAATTTAATTCAATGCATCTACGTAACATTACTTTATAGCAAATCTCCTCACTGGGTATTGCTCAAGACTGATAGGTCAAACTCATTATCATTTGCATAAGACGCAATATGTCCAAATTAAATTCAGATCAATCCCATTTATTGATCATCTCATCCTTCTTCATTGGCTGTCTCAATGAGCAGAGGAATAGCTGCTTCTACAATTATCTAAAGTGCCTTGTTAGCCATATATTTGTTAATTGCAATATTAGCAAATTCAACAACCTGGAAAATAAAGCCCCTTTTTCCATCAAAGGATTTTTTTTGTTGTTGTTGTTGTTGAACACAACATATCTTGCAGACTCCAAAAATCTTGTATCTTTGAGTATTGAGTAGGAAACAGGTTTATTTAAAAGCAAAATTTCCTATTCCCTTTTATTGTTCATGGTTGCATAAATCACTGAGTTACTTTTCTGGATACTCTTTCTTTTTAAATCACACATTGCCTTCCAAATGTATATATAAAGTCCTTGAATTTAATGTGTACTCTATGTAAGCTACTGGAACCAGAATTTCCCTTAAGGAGTAATCCCAAGGAATATATAAAGTTGAGTCTAAATCTAAGTCTAAGTATAATTCTTTTTTTTTAATTAAGTTTAGTAAGTATTTGTTTAGCGTTTTTAAAATGTGTCAGTTTACAGACAGAATTGTGTATATCTTATTGAAATTTAATTTCATGAATCTACACAAACTATAGTTTTATTCTGCTATGAAAGGAGAAGAAGACATCATTCTCAGAATTTTTTAAAAATCTGAAAAATATGGAATACAGTTGTTTTAAGCTTTTTATGAGAAAACCTCAAAATAAAATCCAACTCATTCCGCTAAAATGATTAGCAAATACAGTTTAAACTGATTTAATTTAATTTCACTGCTAATCTGGTTATTCCAAAACCTTCTCAGATGTATGTTCGGGGAAATAATAAGGTTTCATGAAAATATAGAAACAAAGCAGACATTTAAATGTTGTGAAACATTTAAAGAACATTTCGTTCACATAAAACAAAGATGTGGAAGAAGATGCTGGACAGATGAGATTATGGTTTACCTACAAAACGCTATGTATGCATAATGCAGGGAATGTAATGCTGCACATATCGTCCCAGATGAAACATGATGGCTGCTGGATCATACCGTGGGGTTGCTATGTATTACAAGTGGGCAAAAGATGGGTTGATTTAAAAAAAAAAAAAGAGTATTCCTAGAAAAACTTTGATTGACTCAGTCAATCCTGACCTTTTATGCATATATATATATATATATATATATATATATAGTCTAAGCATGGCCCTTGCTGACTGAAATCTTTCTAAAGATGACGGAGATTATCCATGACAAGATGTGCTTTGAGACCAAAGAACACTGTCCGTCAACATGTTGGTGGTAGCATCCTACTGTTAGTGTCATTAAAACAAACATCTGGGTGCAGCATGGTTATAATATTTGGTTCTCTACAACATGCCAAATAACATGTGTAGTTGTAAATATAAGCCCGGATGGCTTATCCAAAATGAATAAAACCTCTACTAGTAATTCTTTATTAAAACATCATAATCGTTTAAACAGGGATAAAAACAGTTGAATTATTAAAAATAAAAAAAGTATTATAGAAATCAATGCAAATAATGACTGCATGAAAATGAAGGCCGCTGCTGATATAAGTTATTGTAGAAATTGATTTATCCAGCAATTATTTCTTTTTTTTTTTTTTGTCAGCCAAAGGCGTTTTAGTCTCTATACTTCAGTTAATGATTGATCAATTACTAAATTAGTAAACCACTATTTCAATAATCAATTAATCACTATTAATCCGACAAATTTTAATCTGTATATATATATATATATATATATA